TATAATAAAGTCAAGTTTACATCGTTTAGTCCAAACTAATCAAAAATTATTGTGAAGTATAAAAGCTAATGCCTAAAAAATATATATAAAAGTTAATATCTATTCGAGCTTGCATTCTTACACAAAAGTCTAAAATCTTACTGGTTGAGTGAAAACAATTCAATTTCTGAGTATGTAGAAATTAAAAATTTAATTGAAATTAAAATGTTTTCTTGACTGATGTCAAACAATTCCTACCTATCTAATTTACAATAAAGAAACGAATGAATAAGCTATTTATCACAGAATTGTGAAGGACCAAGATTCTTCAATATAACCATTATATCGCATTAGATGCAGACAATGATATCATCTTGTTGGAGATTTGGGGGAAGGACAGTCTGGAAGAATGCTTTATGCAAATACCAGAACTTGTCGTTGTCTCAGTAAGGACAGCATTCTCATTAGTTCTGCCTTTGTAGGGCCAATAACCATAAGAAATATTTGCATAATGCTTTCACAAATGTATTTTACTTAACTATGACCGAGGAGACTAGGAATTACTACATTGTAATTCATTTTATACCTTAGGAAACAGAGGCTCAAAATATGGAAGCGACTTGCCCAAAGTCTCCATTCATCAATGGTAGATCTGGGGATCAAACCAAATCTTCTAATATCACCTCATCTTTTCATCGCGTTCCTTCTTTTTCCAAGTAGGCGATGTTAGAGGCAGGTGTGGGCATTCTACAAGATAGGATGAGAGGAAAGAAGGAAAGGCAACAGGGAAAGAGTGAAGATTTTGACGGGAGAAAGAGTTTTATTAGGAACCCAGTCACTCTCAATCCCCAAATGCCTCTTAAGTGGCAACAATGATCACAAGTTACCCTGAGTCTACCAATTTCTGTTATTTTGAGTCAACCATCGTGCTGGAGAAATGAATGTTCAAAAGAAGTCTAAGGATGTTTCTTGTCTGAGGTTCTGACAGCTGAATTTAGCCCCTCCTATGGAGGCCATAGCCCCTCTTCCTTGCCCACAGTGCATGCCTTAGGGAGCAAAGACACGGGGAACTGTTAAGAGAGCGGAAAGAAGAGGGTTGCGCTGGGTTGGGGGTGCCACGACTGGGCTAAGGAGAAGGGGGAGCTTGTGGCGGAGCTGTGGTTACCGGCATGTGGGTTTTGTGGCCGAACACCACGGTGGGGTAGGAAACCAGGATTAGAGCTGACAGTCAGGGTGGAGTTCACGTACCCAGGTAGGTTTGGGGAGCCGGAAGGGCAGAGCGCGCCAGAGAAAGACCGAGGTGGGCGCGAGGATGGGTGGTCTCGGAGCCAGAAGATGCAGGTTTCTGAAGTCCCGCCCTCCCGGGCCCCTCTGCTGCAAGCCCCGCCCACAGCGCCAGACACGCGCCTGAGGGCGGGGAGGGGGCCCGTGCTGGGGAGGGGGAAGAGGGAGAGGTGAGATTCGTGCACGCGCCTCACTCGCTGCGGGTGCGCGAGCAGCGCGCTCCCGCCGCCCGCGTCGCCATCTTTTTCCCCCTCCGTCCGTCTGTCTGCCTTTGGCTTTGTCTGTCTGCAGCGCCGCCCCTCCGTTCCTCGCCACCGGCCAGCCCGGAGCCGCCCTCCATCCGCCAGGTCCTGGTCCCGGAGAACCCCTGCCTGGCTGGCCGGAGCTGCAAGCCGGGGCCCATTGTCCGGCGGTCCGTCTGTCCGGAGGCGGGGCCCAGGGACCCGGAGGCAGCGCCGAGCCGAGGCGCCGGGTAAAGACACCCCCGCGCCCTTCCTCCGGGCCGGACCGAGGATGCGGAGGCTCCTCGCCCGCTTTGGGCCGCCGGCTGTTGGTCCTTTTGTCTGTCCGCGTCTGGGGAGGGGGCGGGGGCGGGGGCGGGCAGGGTTCGGTCCTCCGAGCGGACAGCGCCCTCCCCACGCCCCGGCCTCGCAGTTCCTTTCCGGCCCCTCGCGGTCCGGGCGCAGGGTCGGTGCGGCAGCCCTCCCCGCGTGGGCCCGGGCCGGGCGCCGCCTGGACGGCCCAGCGTCTGACAGGCTTGGGCGGCGCTGGGGGAGGGGAGGATGGGCGTGGGAGTGCGGGCCAGGGTCTCTGTGGCTGCTGCTGGGTCTGGCCAAAGAGCTTCTAAATTTAGATTTCAGAGAGGACTGTGTCTGAGCGTTTGTCTGAGCCTCCTTGGAAGACCTCTGGCTCTCTGTAATTCCTGGGAATTAACCTGTGCCCGCGCTTGAAAAACCCGAAGGGACCATCTCAGCGAATTGTACACACGCTCCAGACCCGACCCACGGGGAAAGAGGGCAAGGGGGCAGGGAGGCGACTGCGCGACCAGCTTTATTGTCCTCTTGTTTTTGGCAGATGCAAATCACTAGGATTCAGACGAGTTTACTTTGCTCCGTGGGAACCGCACCAGAGCTGGAGGTGGGAGTGCACCTTCTCCTTAAGGCTGGATTTCTTTCTGTTTTTTGGTAAAGTATGTGGTGCGCCCTAAAAGCTGCAACCTAACACCTGTAGCAGGCCGGAGACATCGCTAAGGGGAGGTGTGGCACCCTCCCAAGGGGACTCTGGACTTGGCTCTTTAGAGTTGCTTTCCTTTTAAAACAGAATTCCTTGTAGACCTGAACTTCAGTTTACCGTTCTTCCCCATCCCAGTTTCCTTCCAGATGGTGATGTTCAGGCAGCTGTCAGTTCACATTTTTGGTTTAGTTTCAGATGCAGGCTTGGAAACTAAGGCAGTGCTGAAAGTGAGACAGAGTGACCTCCAGGCAATGTACCTATGTGTTTTATTAGCCTTTTCCAGCCATAAAACAGTTGTGTCTAAGCTCTTGCAGTGTGGTCATGAGTGTCCTTCCAGTGCCATTTATTTCCTTATTTATTTTCAAGAGTCCATGAGTACACAGGGCTTTTTGTTTTGTAAGAGGGGAGGTTATTTGCTTATTTTTATGTAGATCCCCCAGGTGTGAACCCCACAGGGTATTATCTGGTCAGTTCCCCATTGGGCCACTAGGAGGACTGTGAGAGGCAGAGGACGCTGTGGATTTAAATATGCAGATGCTCATCTCTGTCTTCTGCTTTGTAGCTTTAGTATTGAACTGTCATTTTGCCAAGATGATTTGAATGGAGCTTGCCTCGAATTATTTGGTGTTCCTTCAGAAGGGACTTTATTAACTTTATCTCAGTTTCAATTTCTTGAAGGGCAGAAAATGTAAATTAGTCAAAAATCCCACTTTTTTTAATACAATACAGGTGTGAAAAATCAATAAACAATTTGGCTTACATTCAGCTTTCCACTTTGTGATTCATAGACGTAGAGAAAAAAGATATGAACTGTGATTCTGATTTACTGCTTCCATTAATAAAAACTGCTTGACTAGAAATGATACACAAGCAAAACTTAAACAGAAACCATTAGATACCAGTAAGCTGGTCTCTAAATAATAAAAATTGGTTTTTATTGTATACATTTGGAGTTTTTCTTTCTTTTTTTTAATTAAAGGTCTGAAAAAGAACTGTGTTTGATATGCAGATATGATAGAAGACTGCCTGAAAGCTGCTTCCTTTGCCACTTCCTGTGGAGGCCTGTCTTTGCCATTTGCGGTTTTTTTCTTCTTTTGGTAAGGGGAGGCAGGATCTGATTACAGGTTTGAGGTCCTTTCTAGCTACATAGAGGAGTTAGTTGGCATAACAGGAGGCAAGTCTTCATTAACTGGAGTGCAAAGTACAGCTTGTAGTAGCCTCATTCCTCTGAAAGCAGTAAACTACAGTTCTATATTTTTATGCTTACGTACAGTTTGAGAAGGCAGAAACTGAAAGAAAACTTGATGACTAGATCTGTATTTCTTCTTTGGTAAAAGGAAGAATCTCTTTTTATATATGTTTATTCACTCTGTCTTCCAGAGGAAAATGTGACAGCTTCTGGGACTAATCCATTTCAGATTCTATAACAATGCTTACTGCTGGGCTAGTCTCTCTTGTAGCTAACCAGGAACCTCCAGAGCCCATTCCCTCCTGTATCAGAGGAGCACATGCATGTCTTCGCAGCACTTCTTGGTTAGAGAGCTGTTTTCTTTGTTCCTACACTGGTCTTTTTGCTACACAGAGGCAGTAGTGGGAAGAGGCTGTAAAGGTGTTAACTGTATGTATGCAGAGTTAGGTTAATGTTCCACACTGGGGAGTTTAATTAGTATTCAACAACATGGATGGCATGTGACTCTTCTGGTAAGAGCCTGTCTTTAGCATTGGAAGTGCACCTTGCTTTAGTGCTGTGTCATCCACAGTCCCCTGTGCTATAACTGTATCATTCTTTCCCATGGCATTTTCTCATTTATAGATGCCTGTCCCACAGGGGTATGATGCCCTTGTTACTTCTATGCAAGAAAACTTCTTGAAAAATAAAATATCTAGAGCCTTCCACTGGTGCTATTTGCAGTCAATTTGCTTGACTTCCAATGGGCATGTGATGTATGAGCAGCTACATTCTTACTATCTTTTGTATTCTTTTACAATCTATAGTGATTACCCTGTGAGCCCCTACTACTTTTTTTTTTTTTTCTTGTCTTTTTGAGACAGGGTCTCACTACAAAGTTCAGGCTAGCCTTGGGCTCTCTTTGTAGCCCAAGCTGGTCTTGAACTTGGAACGATCCTCCTGCCTCAGCCTCCCAAGTACTGGGCTCACAGGAGTGCGCCACCATGCCCGGCTCTAGACCCTATTACTTTGAACCTTGATTGCCTGAGTTTCACATCTTTTTCTTCTTACCTTGATCATGATTATTTAACAATATTCTGGATTCTGAAGATGGATATAGAGTGAAATTTTCTAAGTCCTCTGAAGGAATCCCTCTTAAACTTCTTGATATCTTAACACTGTGCTAGAGATTTATTTCCTTCTTTCACTAGTTCTGTGATTTATAACTGGTGAGTTTTATATGCTTAAGAGTTATTTTAAAAAGTCTTTATCTTTTAATTTTGTATGTTCTGTAGGGAGGGAATGACATATGCTAACAACACCCTTTTTTGTTGTAGGTTAGCACCTTGCAAGAAGGTAGTAACATATCCAGTCGTGAAGCTGGGAAAGGTCAGAGTTCTCAGATCAGGAAAACATGTCCCGCCGGAAACAGACAAATCCAAATAAAGTTCACTGTGAGTACTGAGCCTTGCCTTCTGGAATCTGAGAATGTTAAAGGATAGAATGAGAGAGTAACCTGAATTAGGGTGAAAGACATACACTAATGTTTAAAGAAGAAAGTGTTAAAAGTTTTAGATATATGGAGATACCAATTGTGGTGTTGCGCGCCTATAATCCTAGCACTCAGGGAGTATTGCTGTGAGTTTGAGGCCAGCCTGGGTGACAAAGTGAGCTCAAGACCAGCCTGAACTACATAGTGGAACCCTGTCTCAAAAAGACCAAAAAAAAATTAGATGCACAGACTTAAAGTGTATGTGGTTACTAGAGTAAAACAGGGAGACATATCTGTCTTAGGGATTTGTGCATTTGATTCATCCTTAATCCACAGTAATAGTTATAGGTTACCTACCTATGCAAAGCACTTTGGCAGATATTAAGGCTGTAAAACAAAATAGATAAAACTGTAATGTAGCCTCAGATACACATGCACATACAAGATAGTATATGCTAAGTGCCAAATAAGGATGTTACAGGCTGTATGTGCTACAGATATTAAGAGATTAGAAATTTAAGAATTCTGTGCACTGAGATACCAAGAGAATGCATGATGGAAGAGGCCCTATCATGAACTTGAATTGGATTGTAGAGACTAGAAAGTGGAGTGGAATAAAAGAGAGAGAAAAAGGAGAGGCAAAATCATGTGGGAAAATGATGACTAGTTACAAGAGGGAACACACATGGCATGTTCAGAGGGCGAGGAGACTTTGTATAAAACAGAAGTTTCAGAAGTCATAACACATAAAATTGAGATGTTTAATTCTACATTTTGGAGGCCTGAATGTTGGACCACATGCAAACTTCATTTTGTGGATTAGAGAGCTACCAAAGGTTTTTGAACAGAGAAAGAAGAGTGACATTCAGAATGTAGTTTTGGTAATATGAAGCAGTGTGTGGGATGGATCACATGAGGGACGCTAGAACAGGAAGACAGGCATGCACTGTTGCTCTGTATTGTTTCTCAGCAGTTTCATATGTACATATTCTAGTCTGAACTTCTAAGGAACAGAGATTATGTGCTGTGTATCTCTCTACTTTTGGCACTGCTCATAGATGGTGCTCCAAAAATGCCCTTTAAAATTAACGGTAACATCTATGTGGATCCGAGATAACCATTTTTTTACGATCTGGGGGGATAAGCATTCTTAGACAAATGATCATACAGGAGACAAATAGTTACCTTTATGGCAGACTGTTTAAGTAAAGTGCAACAGGGGCTGGGGATTTAGCTCACCGGCATAAGCACCTGCCTTGGAAGCAGGCAGTCGTGAGTTTGATCCCCGGTACCAATAAAAAGGAAAAAGACCAAAAAAAAAAAGTAAAGTGCAACAATCTTTGAAGAAAATTCAAAGGCATAACGTGCAAGATTTTGTTTTAAGGTTAAACAAAAAACCAAAAACACTGCATTTGAGAGGATAGTTTAGCCAAGGAATTAATTAAAGTTTATTAAAAACATATTATATGCCAAGCACTGTGATAACTCTTCTTTTCAGTAATTTTAAGAGCAGAAAAGAAAATATTTTATACAAAGGAATTAAGATGACTTTGACTTTTTATAAATTAATGAGACTAGGGTAGCAGTCTTCACATATATTATTCTTTGTAAGTCCTGGGAAGGTTCTATAAGATGAGACCAGTTAGATGCTTCAAGATGTATTCTGGGCAGATACTGTAGCACACATCTATAATCCTAGCACTCAGGAGGCTGAGGTAGGAGGGTCACCAAGAGTTCAAGGCCAGTCTGAATTACAGCATAAGACCATGTCTCCAAAAAAAAGTGTATTTCTAGAATAAGTAGATATGCAAGACAGCTTAATATAAAGGTAAGTGATTTATGAAGATTTAGAAGTAAGTGCTAAAACACTTGAGATGCAATGTGCCTCAATGTGAAACTTGTGAAGGGAGATAAAGTTAAGTGTGTCTACAGTAAGTCATCGAACACAGGTTCAAGAGGATTGTCTTCCCTTCTGTGGTCAGAGATTAAAAAGATATAAATACAGACCACAAGAAGACAGAGCAGGAAAGATACCCTTCATAGAAATGATGGGTTTACAAATAAGGCAATTAAAGGAGTTGAGTATTCATTTCTTTTCTTTCTTTCTTTTTTTTTTTTTTTTTTGTCTTTTTCATTTTTATCAGTACCGGGGATCAAACTCACGACCGCCTGCTAGCAAGGCAGGTGCTTATGCCGCTGAGCTAAATCCCCAGCCCCGAGTATTCATTTCTTAAAGCTACTTGTACAGAGTCTGATTAGATTTGGGAAAAGTAGCTGGAGGAGGTGATGGCATAGTTGTATTAAGGCCAGAGGAACCAGCAAAGGCTTGTTGGCCTGTGCTTACATCCACATAGCGTATATCCATCAGTTGCATCTCCTCTCACCCTAATTAGTCAAAGGCAAGATGAACTGCTGTTGGTGTTGGAGTTGGAAAACAAAATCAAACAGGCCATGAAGAAGGAGAAAATACCACACATTCACAGCTACAGAAATCTATTTCCAGAGTCAAGCAAGTGCATGTTGTACTGTTTGTAGAATGGGTGGGACTTCACAGGCTGTTTATTAAGCAAGTCTTTACTGTGGGGCTAGAAACACAAGTATCCCACAGCAACTGAAAAGTAAGCCCCAAGAAGGGGCTGTTTTAAGTGATACATCTGGGCAAGGAGCTGTGAAGGCTGTTCAGGTGATGGACTAAACTTGACTAATGAAAATAACATGTAGTTCAGGCTGGCCTTGAATTCACTATGTAGCCCGGGTTGGCCTCAAATTTGCAATGATCCTCCTGCTTCATTGTCCTTAAATGCTAGATTACAGGCATGTGCCACCACGCTTAGCTTGACCCCACCCTTTTTGAAAGATCATCTTCTCATTACCCATGACAATAATGGCAAGCAGAAGTAGTAGGTAATTTTAATTTTCTGAAAATTTGAGGCTCCTATGCACCTTGCAGTGAAATGGAGCCAATCATGTATTGAACTTAATGCTGTTTGTCTATTTAAAGTAAATGGAGTGGACTAAAGCTCTGGAAAGCAGGAAAGTCTGCAGAAGCTTTGCTTAAAAGTCAAAACCAACCAGCACTTGAGCAGAATAATGGCTGAGCTTCATTACATCTGCCTTCTGGAAAGAAGATTATGTGGCATGATGCTAAAAGCACGCCTAAAAGGATATATTAAGAATCCCACGGCCATGGCCCAGCAACATGTGTCAGATCTACTCTAGATTGAGAGGCTGGTTTGGCAGTTATTTGGTTTTCCTGAAGACTTTTTATATCATATGCTGGAATGATTCTTTCCTCAAAAATATTCACACAAACTCTTTTTATCTTTTGCCCACTTGCTTCATTAATAGACTCAGTTGCAATAAAAGTTCAGAATTGTTAGTCATGGAGACACTGTTGCTGCATTGCTGTTTTATACCTTTTCCATTTTTGCCTCCATCTCACCCCTTTCTGAGTACAGATCCTGTCACTTCTAGAAAGGCCGAAAGCAGAGTCTTTTATAGTGCTCAAATGTAGGGAGTTTGAACCAAATAAACCACTAAGAAAAGAAATCTTAAGATACATGAAAGACTAGAAAACTTCAACTAAAAGCTTTTCTTAAGAGAAGGAATAAAAGCCTGTACATTCCTTTCACTTCTAAAAAGCACAAGTTCTTTTGTCTTCATTCATTCTGTTTGGCATTCTTGTAAGGTAATGGCTGTGTTCCCAACATGTGATACCACCTGGGTTACAACTGTCAGCTCCAAATGGAATCCTAAGCTCCTCACTTCCACTAGCTCCTTTTTTTCTGACCTTGACATCTGCTCCCTTAGAGAATATGTTTTCACTGCTTTATTTAATTTTAATCAGTCTGAAATTGCATTTGTTAACTGTACTAAGGATCCAAGAAAGAGAAATTCTTTTTTTTTTTTTTTTTTTTTTTTTTGTCTTTTTCCTTTTTATCGGTACTGGGGATTGAACTCACAACTGCCTGCTTGCAAGGCAGGCGCTTATGCTGCTGAGCTAAATCCCCAGGCCCCATGGGCTCATTCTTATATGATCTGAAAAACCTAAGCCAAATCAAAGACAAAACAGTGTTTCGATTTTTGTACCAAAAAAAGTAGATGTAGTACCTTTTTGTAGTGGAGCCCAATTATTAATAGACAAATGCCCATATTTAATAAGATAATTACCCTACATTAGTGTCTAGGGACCAGATGATTTTTTTAAACCTCCAACTGTCTCAAAATAGAAATAATTTTACATTATAAAAACAGGCAATTTTATAACACTATCTGTGTGTGACTGAGGATTGAACCCAAGACCTTTACACTGAGCTAATTACCCTACCTTAGTGTCTAGGGACCAGATGATTTTTTTTATACCTTTTTATATTTATTTTGAGATGGGATCTTGCTAAGTCACTCAAGGTAGGTGATTTTCCTATCTCAGCCTCCCAGGCTGCTGGGGTAACAGGCATGTACCACCATAGCTAGCTAATACTATAACACTTTAAGCAAATATCTTTTTTTTTGAGCCGGAAATCGAACTCACGACCTCATATTGCCAGACAAGCCATATCCCCAGCCCTTGTAACACCTTAATAATTGGTATTTCTGTGGATCACATTATTCCTGAGATAATGTGACACAACTTTAGTAAGTTCTACTTCTTATGAGAAGGCTAATCCTGGACAAGCAACTTCAAAAGCTTGCTAAAAGTGACTACCAAAAGGTGACTCACTTCCCTTTTCTTAAGGTGTCTCCTAGAACTGCTTCTTTTTCAAGGTTTCATATATTTTGTTTTATAGTGGTCCTTAAAACAGGAATAGCCTTGAGGAAAAACTTTAAGCTTAGCTATTTTTCCCAATCAGGAATAGAATAAAAGAGCATAAACTGCCAAAAAGGAATGACAGAATTAATCTATCTCAGTTATCACAGGTGAGATTGCCAGCAAGTGTTAGATAGACAAATTATATTTAAGCAACATCAGTAGACAAAAATAAATTTTGAGTTTGGGTTGATAAAGACTAAGCAGTTACTGACTCATCTTGAAAGGTACATATCCTTTTAGATGCCTTTCTGCTAATCCAGTGGTGATTCCCCAGTACAAAAGGGAAAATAGTATTGTTCATTCTTGGCACGTTAAAAACCTCACTGGTTTCCACCTAGGTTTCTTTAGAGACTAAAAGTATCACTGACAAGGATGGTCTGCCTTTGATAATTATACTATAGCATATAACTTTTTCCTTCGTGCCATGTCTGCTCATGACCGTTTGGTCCAAAAACATACATACCTAGAAGAATTGAAAAACTATCCTGGTTGGCTGTGATCTTAGGGTTTCAGTGAAACCAACACGGAGAAATTAAATATTTTACTTCTGCAGAGAAATATAAGAAAGCACTCAGCACAGAACTCATTTTTTGCTTCTCTAGGAGTAATTTATATCTAATGTGTCACCTTAGATACTGTGAAGATGACTTTCAACAACTTATTTTTCCTTTACTTGAGGGCTGTGTAGCTAGGAGTATACTTTAACACTCTCCACCTCCGTTCCCACCCACAGGGTGAGTCATAGTTGCCACAATGTGAGTTACTCTAATCCAGGCATGGTAATTCATGATGTGGTTTGAGAACCATCATTTTTCCTTTTGTCATATACTGGCCTTCAGAACACTATTTTGATATTTAAGTTGTGTGTAAGTTTCTTATGGTACAAGGATAACACCAGTACCAAGCTAAGATCCATTTTTCCCACAGAGAGAGAAACATTTGTTATTAGCAAAACCACTTCGATGATTGTTTTAATCTTGAACTCTTAGCTCTACTAGAAAACTTAAAACTTAAACTTTAAACTTAAAAACTATGGACCTTAGTGGGTAAGGGTATAGCTCAGTGATAAGAGTGCATTTGTAACATATGCAAGGCCCTGGATTCAAGCTCAGCACCAAAAAAAGAAAGACATTAGAGCCAGGCATGGTGGAACAAGCTATGATATCAGCACCTTAGCAGGAGGACCACAAGTATGAACTGAGCTGAACAACTTAGTAACTTATCAAGACTCTGTCTTAGGGGCTGGGGATTTAGCTTAGCGGCATAAGTGCCTGCCTTGCGAGCAGACAGTTGTGAGTCCGATCCCTGGTATCGATAAAAACGAAAAAGACAAAAAAAAAGTTTTAAAGACTCTGTCTTAAAATATAAATGGGCTATGGACGTAGCTCAGTGCAAAGGCCCTGAGTTCAATCCCAAGTGTTGGGAAAAAAAGATGTTATAGTTGGTCAGACTTAGGTTTAGATGGTTGGTTCCAAATAGATCTTATTTTCTCCATAGTAAATTATATGTAAGTGGTAATACTAAGAAGTAAGAGCAGTAGTGTAACGACTATAATGCATGTAGTGTAGAGCTTGGAACTAGCATAGTAATTATAGTTCATATTCAACATTTAATGTATGGTAGACATTCAATGAATATTTGCTGAACAAAAGACCAAGTAAGTTACATGAAACATACTCCCACCTCAGTATTTTTCACTACCAGCCAGGCACACCGTAATCCCAACACTTGGGAAGCTGAGGCAGGACTGCCATGAATTTTAGGCCAACTTGAGCTACATAGTGAGTTCAGAGCCAGCCTGAACTACAGTATTTTTTCGCTGCCCAAGGACTAGCAGTACAGATCACCTCACCAATTCATTTTTCCTACATCATTGTATTCTAGCTCAGAACCTGAGCCTTTTTAAAGGGCCTACTCTATTGTCAAACATGTCATGAGGGCTTTTTATTAAGCTTCTTGCTGGCTGGGTAATGGGGACTATAGTTTTCCCTTTGAGATAATGGAAACCTGGAGAAACCCAACTCTTCTCCTTATGCCTGGTATCCTGGAAATAAAAGGGCATTTAAATGTTAACTCTTCAGTAACTACATGGATCCCAGGCAAAGTTCATCAGAAGTAAATGCAAAATCAAAGATGTGACCAGGGCTTTGGGTCCCGAAAGGGGGCAAGGGCACACCGTCCCAAGGAGACTATATACAGTAAATATTGTTTGGTATAAATTAGTTGATGTGTTTTCAGGAAAAACAGAAGAAATGAGTTTGTATGTTATTTGTTCTCTTTGTCCAATTTTCAACAGTTGGTTTTCTCATGCAAATTCTGATAGGCATTAAAAAGAAAGTAAAGGAAGAACTTTCAGAGCATATCTAGAAAAGACAGTGGATGAAAAATGAGATGGGATGAAGATGAAATTTATTTAGAAGGATTATTTGAAGCACTTGTTTGCAGTTCAAGATAATGCTAGTAACTTAAGGAATAGGGATTTTGTCCAGATTTGTTGCCCGGTTATCCATCCCTTCATTTTGCCTCTGTTCCTCAATCCTGATGGAAATTGTAAATGGAACTGAGAGCCTGCAATTAAATTCATAAAGTAGCAGTTGTTCACCTTTTGAACAGACTCAGAAATAAGAACATTTAAGAGAAGTGATGTTTTCTAGTGCATCTGGCTTACTGCCCAGGAAGAGCAGCTATGTACAGAAGCTGTTGGAGAAAAGCAAGCTGACTTAGAGATGAATGACCTTACCACAGGGTACCTGCCTGTCTCCTACCTTTGAATGGTCTGACCTTCCAATGAGCTTGCCTGGGGATATGCTTCCCAGCTGGTGGCCTGACTATTTTTCCTTGTGACCACCAGGGGATCAAGTATTTGCTGGGCTAGAAGAGCAAGCCCGCCAGGCGATGATGAAAACTGATTTTCCTGGAGACCTTGGCAGTCAGCGACAAGCTATCCAACAACTAAGAGATCAGGACTCCAGTAGCAGTGAGTTCTGCACCTTCTGGTAATGACTCAGGGCAATGGGAGAAGAATTATCAGAGTGTGTGCTCTGGGATTGTGCATGGGGGTTGGGAGGAAGACACAGAGAAGCAAGTATGTAGATTTTGAGTGTTCCCGCAAGTGCTCTAAGATGTGAACTTATGCTTATTCAGAGGAAGAAAGAGAAAAATCAGGTTTGGCATTATATTTTCTTTAACTCATGGACTACAATACTCTGTACAACAGTGCCTTACACTGGAAGTTCGCAATGGTTGCAATAGAAACATAGGATAATCAATGCTTGTGTGGTCCCTGGATTAGGTCAAATGAAAAAAAAATCTCTATCTCCCAGGATCTATTTATTCACAATTAATAAAACGAGTGGCATTGGTGAATTTTTGCTGGAGGGCATAGTTTTAATGTTACACAAGATTTGCTTAGTGATAAGATTATGCAGTATATAAAATGGTATACTCTAGATCTTCCTACACCACAGCCCTCAGAGTAGATCATAACAACTATAATGAATGGTGGGACTTTCTCATGGAGAAAGAGAAATATAATGTTTTGTTCAGATATTAGTGAATTTGAAATTACGCAAAGGATAGTAGAGAGAAGACAAGCAGCACTATTAATGAGAAAATCTGAATCTCACTGTGGATGCAAAGAACCTAAAAACTCTACCATGTATGTCTCTTTACTTACATCAGATCCAGGAGTCCAGGATCTGGGTGAAGTTGGGATAGGGATGAATTCTGACAGCTTCCATAGGTTTGGCTTCCTCTTGTGATTGTTAGGGTGCTAGTTTTTTCCTTTTAGAAAGAACTCCATTTGTTATTATGCAGTAAAGTTTTTTTTTAATTTTTTTTACCGTTTTATAAATAATAGAGAAAAAAACCATCAGCTCATGCAAACCAGCCACATCCTGTCACCAAAACTAAAACTCAATTCTACTTAAATCACAAGAAATAGCATTAAATTCTTTTTTTTTTTTTTTTTTTTTTTTTTTTGTCTTTTTCATTTTTATTGGTACCGGGGATCGAACTCACAACCACCTGCTTGTAAGGCAGGTGCTTATGCCACTGAGCTAAACCCCCAGACCCAATAGCATTAAATTCTAAAGTGAAGAAAAACCCATTCTTTCTACTTAATGCATTTAGTTAATGCAAAGAAACAATAGAGACAGTAGAAATATTGAGCTGGGTGTGGTGGTGCTACATTCCCATAATCCTAGCACTGAAGCTGAGGCAGGAAGATCACTGAGAGTTCAAGACCAGCCTGAACTACATAGCGAGAGTGTCGCACCAAAAAAATATATATATATATTGAGTTTTGAATGCTGCATCACTAGTGGAATAAAAACAGAGCTAGATACCACAACAAAGTGCTTGAGGTTGCTGTGCTAAGTTTTCTACTTTAATGAACAGACTTTAGAGTGACATCATTTTTAGTACTGCCTTTTTATTGATAAGGGAAGAAAGACTTACTGGTGTTTCCTTAAGATTTGTTGGGGGAAAACATATTAGTGGAGCTCAGGATAAAATAGTCTGTGACACCATGGAGAAATTATGCAGAGATTTTGGGGAAAAGTAAGTAAAATATCAGCAAGAAATGATGGTAAGTCAGAAGTTGCATGTTGTGGGAAACAGCCTGTTATAAGGTACTTGAGAGGTATGATTTGAAGTGTGAGATATTTGAGAACTATTCACTCAAGGATAATTTTTGTGATAATGTAGAGGACCCAGTAGCCATTTTCCAATGTAGTCTCCATTCTGTCTCCATTTTTTTCATTTGTGTGTATATGGCATAACAGTGATAGCTGCTTTACACTTCACATGATTTGTGCCCAACTAGACACAAATTTAAACTATATTATGGAAGATCTGAAAATGTTTTTCATTATAGCTGCAAACTGCAGGGTGGATAGCAGTTCAGGACGTATTCCTGCAAAACTCAGAACAAATGACCAGTTTGTATGTTCCAGGTGACAGTGAGGGTGATGAAGAGGAGACCACACAAGATGAAGTCTCTTCCCACACATCAGAGGAAGATGGCGGGGTGGTCAAAGTGGAAAAAGACTTAGAGAATGCAGAGCAGCCTGTTGGTGGGAACAAACTAGTAGAGCATGAGGCAAGTGAAAAATGGCTTTTAAAAAAAAATGTTTTTTTGAGACAGAATCTCATTATGTAGGCTAGGCAGGCTGGCCTTGAACATACTGTGTAGACTAAGCTGACCTCCAGCTCATGGTGATCCTCCTGCCTCAACCTTCCAAGGGCTAGGATTATAGGAGTGTACCACCATGCCCAGCTCAAATGGCTCCTGAGTCCTGGAATGCCCTACCCTCCTAATCAGCCCTGATGCTTCTCATCCATATGTCAGTCTTGACAAAGCCTCTTCTTCCACAGCACCAGAACCTGCCCCTCAGACACAGCCCTCATTATACCCACTTTCCTTTTCCACTCCTACGACTCTGCACCCACTACTCTCAGCTCTCCTTGCTAAAACTCCCCATTTCTTTCCAGGTAGAATAGCCACCTTTACAAATTGAAAGCTTACTTTTTAAGGTGTATGAGACTATGCCTGCAAATGTGTCAAAATGTTACTTGAGGTGTCACTTTCTCACTATACTGTTTCCTGAGGACTCCTACAAGAAGCATGACAGGAGAGCTGCTAATCCTTTACTGCAGTGTTTCTTAGGCAAAATAGCAACTTTCCCTGGGGCAGTCCTGTGTCTTCATGGTGGAAAACCCTGGAGAAAATGAAAATTGTAATAAAATTTAATTTCCTTTCAAACATTACTTTTTCCTTTAGCCCACAGTAGAAACCTAAGAATAACATACGATTTCAGAATGTGCCCCTTTTAACCCTGTTAAAGAGGTGTGACTAGGGAAGAGACTAATGAAATCTCTTCATGAATTGCCTGTTTATTAAATTGCAGGTCACAGAGAATCTGAGTTCTGACCCTTTGCTTGAACTCTGCCAGTGTCCCCTCTGTCAGCTAGACTGTGGGAGCCGGGAGCAGCTGATTGCTCACGTATACCAGGTACAGCATGGGAAGCCACGAGCTCTGGAACCCAAGTGCCCATGGCTTGTTTATAGCCCACATCCTGCATTGGCCTTTGCCTCAGGCTTCTGAAGCATCTTGAGTTTTTGCTTCCATAAAACTCATCTCTAATTCTCAGAACTTCTGAGAGAGTAAATGGGGGCTGGGGATGTGACTCAGTGGTACAGCTCTTGCCTCGCATGCACAGGGCCCTGGGTGTGATTCCCTAGCACCCCAAAATAAAAAGAGTAAGTGAGATTTGTTGGGAGAATAGGTTCTGGGTTTCAAGCAGACACAGTATAAAAATTGTCATCATTTTTTCTAAATTAAGACAAAAATAATAAAATTACTTATGACATATTTAAGAGTGAAACAGAAACTAACATATTAATAATGAAGGCTTTCAAAGAAAAAAAATGAACCGACATGTTTCTGAAATACCAGTGGAAGTATAAACAAGGGAATCAGCAAAAGAATCTTTTGTCTTCAGTTTACCCTGATCCAACTTCAGGGCACCTGTGCCTTGTGATTCCTATTGATAAGGCATCAACACATAGGGCACAGAATACCCTGTGTTATACCAATTAGTTTGCCAGAAATATTTCTTTAGCAAACTTCTAAAAGAATGAGGAAACACATAATAAGTATTATCAGCCAGCTCCTAGATTAGGCATTCATCACTGCCTTTTTTGTTGTTGTTTTGTTTCTGAGTTAAGGTCTGGGTATGTAGTCCAGGCTGGCCTTGAACTCACTGTGTATCGTAGGCTGGCCTTAAACATGTGATGATCCTCTTACCTCTGACTCCCAAGTGCTGGGATTACATGGTGCACCACAGCAGTTCATCACTCTTGAAAGGCACTTGCTTACCTGCACAGTGTGAGCCAGAGAAATAGAACTAAATGATTCTGAACGTGAGTTCCTCACAAGCTCTGAAGAGAGCCACTGTTCCTCAGACTAGGCATTTGTCTTAGAATTTAGTCAGACTTCAAGGTAATGAAATCAGAACAATGATTTGACCGGTGCTTCTGAAGATCCACTAATACAGCAAGCTGTATACAGACAGAACAGTTACAAGTCCCTGGTTCTGAAACTAAGGAAAGAGGATATTTCTCAGAAAATAAAGTGAGTAGATTGTCCTGGAGTAGTGTAAACTGACAAATTGGGGCTCTGTTTTACAGCATACTGCAGCAGTGGTAAGTGCCAAGAGCTACATGTGTCCTGTGTGTGGACGGGCCCTTAGCTCACCAGGGTCACTGGGTCGCCACCTCCTAATCCACTCGGAAGACCAGCGGTCCAACTGTGCTGTGTGTGGAGCCCGTTTCACCAGCCATGCCACTTTCAACAGGTTAGCCGGGCACTTAACCCTTCTGTGCTGGGGTGCAAGTTGTTGGATATGGATTCTGCTAGTAAGAGTACAAAGCCAAGTGATACACTCTTTAGAAATACAAGTAATGGGGCTAGGAAATACCACTTAGATGTCCCCAAAGGGAAGTACATTTCCATTTCTTTCTTCATCTCTATATATTCAACTAGAAAGAGATGGAAAGAAGTGCAGGAATGTTTACAATAATGCATGAAGAAGTTGCAAGGTGCTTAGAGGAAGCTGGTATGGGGACATAGTCTCCACTGTGTCCTAGGAAGACTGAACTTACCATGTTTGCCTAAAGTACAGTATAGAGACTGCCTTTCATGGGAGGAGGTGAGGCAATGAAAGCTGCCACTTCAGGTCCCTTCATTTGCACAGTAGGCCTAGTCCTATACCATCCCTTAACTTCACATTATCCAGGTTGATTTCTGGTATGACAGGTGCCTCGGTCTTTTATTCCAGGTAGGCTTTGAGACTTAGTAAGACACTCTAGCCCACAGAGAAGGGGTTTCCCAAGCATTGCAGTGGACCTCTAGCTGGGTGTGGTGGCACACACCTGTAATCCCAGCATTTGGGAGGCTGAGGCTGGAGGATTGCAGTGAGTTCAAGGCCAACCTAGGCTCCATAGTGGGTCCAAGGCCAGCCTGAACACAGCAAGACCCTGTCTCAAAAAGAAAATAAAAGGAGGTCCAGTCATGAACTTAGCCTGATAGAAAACGACAGTAAATTAGGGCTGAATATGTGAGCTTTGGTACAAGGAAACACTAATCATATAAAATGTTGCTTTCCAGTGAGAAACTTCCTGAAGTACTTAATATAGAATCCCTACCCCCAGTTCACAGTGAGGGCCCCTCCAGTGCCGAGGGGAAGGACACTACTTTCAGTCCTCCAGTGTACCCTGCTGGAATTCTACTTGTATGCAACAACTGTGCTGCCTACCGAAAGCTGCTGGAAGCCCAGACCCCCAGTGTACGCAAGTGGGCCCTGCGTCGACAGAATGAGCCTTTGGAAGTACGGCTGCAGCGGCTAGAACGAGAGCGAACAGCTAAGAAGAGTCGGCGGGACAATGAGACCCCTGAGGAGCGGGAGGTCAGACGCATGAGGGACCGTGAGGCCAAGCGCCTGCAGCGCATGCAGGAGACAGATGAGCAGAGGGCGCGCCGCCTGCAGCGAGACAGGGAGGCCATGAGGCTGAAGCGGGCCAATGAAACCCCAGAGAAGCGGCAGGCCCGGCTCATCCGAGAGCGAGAGGCCAAGCGGCTCAAGAGGAGGCTGGAAAAAATGGACATCATGTTGAGAGCTCAGTTTGGCCAGGACCCTTCCGCCATGGCAGCCTTAGCAGCTGAAATGAACTTCTTCCAGCTGCCTGTGAGTGGGGTGGAGTTGGACAGCCAGCTTCTGGGCAAGATGGCCTTTGAAGAGCAAAACAGCAGCTCTCTGCACTGAAGCACTCTCCTTCTGCCCTTCCGGCCAACCAGCCCCACAGGGCTCATTGCTGCAGCCACCTACAAGGCCATCCTTGCTGCCAGAGGCAGATATGGGTTTGTTGCAGGCAGACGTGTGCACCTTGAATGTGGGAGCAGGATAATAGGACCAGGAGGGATCCAGCTCAAGGCACCCTAGACAAGGAAGCAGGTACTCCAGAGGACTGGACTCCCCAGCCACTGTAGCAGGCTGGGCTCATGGGACTACAGGGCCCCAGTATAGCCCATGAAGTTGTGAGGGCAAATAAATTAATTTTATCTTTACTGGCCCATTCCTGCTTTTTGTCTATTTATTCTAGTCAATGAGGCGAGCTAGGAGAGAGCTGAGCTTTCAATGTGGCTTGCTCTTTTATAAGGGTGCTCTGGCTCTTCTGTTGAGTCTGTCCAAGCCCATGTGACTTAGAAGTTGATGAGGCAGGAAGGGAATACAGCTCAACAGCACAAGCGCCTACCTGGCAAGCACAAGGTCCTGAGTTCAATTCCCAGTACCAAGAAAAGAGAGGAAAAAAAGGTTGATGAATAATTGTGGCACTGAAGAAAGAACTGACCCTGAGGGGCTGGGGATTTAGCTCAGTGGCATAAATGCCTGCCTTGCAAGCAGGCAGTCGTGAGTTCGATCCCTGGTACCGATAAAAACGAAAAAGACAAAAAAAAAAAAAAAAAAAAGAACTGACCCTGACATTAAGAATTCATCCTACAACCATAAGTGATACCCATGATTCTATGGGCTATATAAACTTAGCTTACTTTTTCCGAACTTAGGAAGTAGTAGAAGCCTCTCCTCATAACTGGTGTTTTCTAAACACTGTATACTTAAAACTAGGTACAAGCTACCTTTCCAAACAAAATACATTTTGTCAGGCATTTATAATACCATCCGAGAACAGCAAGATGTATCCAGGAATATGTTCATAGAAATGGTTGCAATATTCCATACACTTTAGAACTCATGTTTGAGAGAAGAGCTTATCCATCTTTTATTTATTCCCTAGAGCCAAGGTAGAATGATAAAAGCCATTGAGGAAAACTAAGGAGGGAATAAGAACGGTATCAAAGACTAAATTAAAATGACGATGGCAAATGTAGAAGACAAATGCTGAGGTCATTTCTAAAGTTCCTGTGACGGTATAGAACAACTAGAGAACTTTTCTTAGCCTGCACCAAAGGTTGTATACAGTTCAGATAATTATAGATCTTGAGGTCCAGAAGGAAGTGCCCTAGTTAAACTGTAGCCAGAAAAATAACTATGCTGGAAATGTGGGCCTCTTCCAATACCGTAATAGGGAGACTTGGCCTCCTCTCTGACCTCCCTAGGTCTAAGGCTCTCTAATAGTGTCATATGACAAAGTAGGGTGTGTTGCTACTAGGAGGCTGTGTTGCTACAGGCAGGCTGAAATGTTTTGAAAATTATATTTAAAAGAAAGTACTTAATTGATCCAAATGGCTTTCTCTCATAGCGCTCAATACTTAAATCCAATTTGGAATGTTTCAAAATGGTTGTGCCAAGGATTACTATGATCAGTTTACATGGACTATCTCATTTAGTCCCCACAACACTAAGTAAATACAGATTCATAAATTAGATGCCTGGGTTCGAAACTGCCTTGCTGGGCTGGGTATGTAGTTTAATGATAGAACCTTTGCCTACCATAACAAGCATGAGCCCTTGGGTTTAATTCCCAGCACCAAAAAACAAAACAAAAACTTGGCCTGCTTTATTTTACTAGCTGTATAATGCTGGGCAAGTTATTTAACCTGTATGTCTTGCTTTCCCCACCTACAAATGGAAATACTATTAGCAAAAAATGACAGTTATGTTCACACCAGGCCTACAAATGTCTTACTGCTGACATGCTCTTGAATTATCAGATGGTAGAAGCCACTCAATGGGACAGTCATGCAAGCACCATCAGAAGATCAAGCAGGCAGGAACACACACACCTACATACATAGTTTGTGGCACATAGTGTTTTTCTACCTAACTATAGTAATATGCTTTTGAATATTTTCACTACTTAACTGGTGGCAAGCTAATTTAGGAGTAATAACTATGATTGGGGCTGAATTATGCAATTTTGGACACCATTCCTGAGCAAAGAAAAGAATTGGGGGTAAAAGGTCAGCACACTTACAGGTCCTTGTGGTTGATTTTGCTGGTATCTTAAGTATACAGGTAAACTTTCTATCAATAGCAGATGACACTTTCGATAGCTCCCACCGTCTGCCCTGAGCTTACTATATTAAGGGCACTGTTTGCATTCCATTTCAAGTGCTCCCACACAGCATTTTTACCCCCACACCACCCAACAGCCACAACCTGAGGCTGGTAGGAAGGAGGCGCAAACACCAAAAGGAAAAGCTAGTAGTTTATATAGATAGATATATAGATATATAGATATTGATATATATTGTGTTTACATAGTCCACAAGTTAAATGCAGGTATCCATAAGAAGAGCATTAACAATAAAAATACAATCTGTGTGTAGCCAAGTACAGAGACTTAAAATGGTAAAACAGCAAAAAGGATCTCACAAAAGTACAAATATACAGTACAAATTGATTTATTTAAAACAGTTACAAAAAAGCACAACAAAATAGAGATTATCCTTAGAATTATTAATGCTTTGTTAAAGATCAGGTAGGATTAGAGGGTAAGAAACGGTATTGGGTGGGGGGAGCACCTGACTAGTTCTAAGGCTTTAGATACAATGCAGTTGATTACATATTAATTCAGCCATTACATACCGGGGATAGTAGTTGGGGATCAGTAATTTATCTACAGGGAACTCCTACACAAATCAGATCCAACCAGACCTCCCCAGTGCCATCCTTCTCTAATTTTTAGGACCCTAAAGCCACCTGGATGACAAAATTCCCATCCTTTCTCCACCCCATTCCCTACCCATATATTCTTCCCTCCCCTAAGGTGCTGTGCAAGCTGAGAGCAGTTTGCTCTCTGCAGCTGGAACTTATACTGTTTGGGCTACAGGGATCCTGTGTGACTTAGCAAGTTTGTAGGGGACAGTCTTATTTTAATACTTCAAGACAGCCATGAGTACAGTCTCTTCCCCAACACAATCCAGATTCCCTTCCATGTATGTATGAAGCAAGTATGAGGGATCAATCATGCCTTCAGCAGGACCAGAAGCTCACTAACCCTCACAGTTCACCACTACGTGCAAACTCCTTATCCAGGGGGTGGGTGTAAAACCAGTCATAAGTGTTCTCTCTCTCTGAAAAACCTAAGTCCCCATGACAGTCATAAAGACAGGTAAGATGCTTGCAAGTTTGACAATGGGTAAAGGCACATGGGTTGCTACCACACACTGCAGACAGGAACCCAATATGGGGCCATCTTCACTGCTGGGCATTTGCAGTGGAATGGCTTTGGGATCAGACTTTGAGTTTGCAATCTGCTAAGGGAAGATCTAGGCTTAACAGAACTAATAAACTTTTAGTGTGAAAAGTGCATTTTTTAACCACTGTTCCTGCTGGGGAGGCTCAGCAGGGCAAACCATACTTCCTCTGCTCCTTCTGCCCCAGGCACTGTGCATAGTCTGCAAGTAAGGAGAGAATGCAGCCAACTCTAGCATCAAGGGCCAGTGTCGTCTGAGGCCCAGACCAGGCTTCTGGTCCAGTGATGGATCCTAGAGTTGAGAGCAACTGACAACTGCAAAGACACCGAGGCTTATTTTATTATTGCATAATGTGGGAGACCTTTCCTACCTCAGGGAAGCTGGAGGGTGGGTAAAGGCTTTGCAGCAAAGGGCTAATACGTTCCTGATCAATATCTAACCTAGCAGGGCTCATGTCTTCAACTGTAGTGTACACTTTTTTTTTCTTTTTCTTTTTTTTTTTTTGGTACTGGGAACTGAACTCAGGACCTTGTGCTTGCCAGGCAGGCACTTATGCCACTGAACTATATTCCCAGCTCCTGTAGTGTACACTTTTTCCCATATGGAAAATACTCTAGCTTCAGTGTGGTTTAACAAAGTTAGCCCAAGGAAGTCAAGACATCTCCCTAAAACTTGGCCTCTGTTCTATTTACTTGGCTTCTAAGACTAAGGCCTAATCTCCCATGGCCAATTCAGTTAATCCAGTTATCTTTACTCCAATGGACCTAAGCCCTTTCCCAGTCATTCCATGTCTACTTTCAGCTTCAATGTGATCAGTCAACTCTACCATGTGCCTGCTTATTGCAGGTTTAAATATTACCATACTGTGCTTCCCCTAAATTGCCTGTGATGCCCATTGGAAAAAAATACTAAACCCTACTAGAGGGGCTACATTAGCCAAACTTCAAATCCTCTCCCAACCCTAGAATCCATGTAAACAGAGCTACATGAATCTTGCTGGGATGCTGGCACAGGCCCTAATGGGGTTTCCCCTTACTTGGTTCTTAAAACAGAATACAAGATACCACAAAAGAATACAACAGAACACACCCTCTCATAGGAACTGCTTATTTCTTTCTTAAGACAGGCAGAGCTTGGAGCCAGAGAGCTCCTGATACCAATGAAGCCATATCCCTTTGGATTCATCAGACCACCAGCAGCATTTCATACCATCCCTACTCGACATGACTGTGCTATACAGTAACACTGGCAAAACACAGATAAGAATAAATGCCTGAATTTAATTTACATGGCCAAAAATATAGAAGGACAGGGAGCTACAGAAGGCAGCAGGCAGGACAGTGAGCAAAAAGCAGCCGTGGCAAAGCAGCGCAGAGGAAAGGCCATGGTGTTATGACCAACTAGACCAGGAGTATAGAATGGTCAGTCCAGATCTGCTGGGACCCTCCTCATGGGGACAGCACTATGCTCTCAACTCCCAGCTCTCTTTCCTAAGTATAAGAATCTTGACAGGAACAGTGATCTAAATCTTAGGATCTTTTGAAACATTCTTTTGGTTTCCCTTCTTCCAAATTCATACAGGCATTTCTGTACAGTTCTAGAATTTAATAGTCCTTTCTATCACCCCTAAGCTCTGAGAATGTCCTACCACTAGGACTTGGACTGGTTAGGGACTGACCAGCCTATGTCCACTGTCCATTCTCAAAAAGCTGACAACTTCCCATATAAATGCTCACTCTCCAAAAACTACTCTCGTGTTTCTTGCAAGCTTAGGTAACTCCTATAAGGAAAAAATTCATAACATCAGTTTACTTACTTTTCATGGCTGGAGGAAAACAGTGAACCAAAGGAAAGCCAAGGGCAATGACAGCTCTGACCAATTTAGAGGACAGAGCTTCTTTTCCTGGGGACCAGT